GTAGAGCTATTTGGCCTAAAAAAGCCTAGTATCCAGCAACTCACAGAGATCCTCCTGCCTCTACATTCAAGTGTTGGGGTTAAGGCATGAACCACCACACCTGGCCATGGATTCTTTTTTATTCAAAGCTTTCTAAGCAAATGATTTCATGCATCTGTCTTCCAGTTCTTTTTTTTTTTTTTTTTTTGGTCTGTTTATTGATATCAACTATGAACACTTGTTGAGGTTCCAGTTAGGCTTGTCTGACCATCATATCTTTCTCCAAGAAGCCTCAGATAAGCAGGTTTCTTTAAACTCCACAATGTGGACTAGAATCTGTGTTGGTACAAAATTCACCATGTGAAATGGTAGCTACACACAATTCTTTTGTTTCCGAAATCCTTTCCAAATCAGATTTGAGTTGAAAAAGAAATATTGATTTCGCTCTTTGCTTCACTTGTAAATGTGGGAAGAGGGTACTCCAGGTCCAACTGGCAACTTTATGTCATTTCCATGAAGATACATTTATTTGTTTGCTTGTTTTTCAAGACAGGGTTTACTCTGTGTAGCTTTGGAGCCTGTCCTGAAACTCACTCTGTAGACCAGGCTGGTCTCAAACTCACTCTGCCTCCCTGAGTGCTGGGAATAAAGGCCTGTGCCACTACTGTACAGCCTGAAGATGTATTTTAAATCACGTTTACCTGTGTGTGGCTATGTGCACATGAGTACTCAGAGGCCAGAGGTATTAGACCCCCTTGGAGCTGGAGTTACAGGTGGTTGTGAGCTGCCTGCTGATGAGGTTCTCTACAAGTATGTGCTGAGCCATCCCTTGAGCTCCCAAAATTTGCTTGGGGGTCAGGTACCATTTTTGCATCAAAATTTCTTTAGAAGGTATCCTCTGTGCTGCCTGCCTGTTCTAGGCTCCCTGAAGCCAGTTCCTTCGATTCATCTGAGCATGTTGAAAAGGCCACCAAGAGTCTCTGGATGATTTGGGTCATTCTACTTCACCTTTCTGTAGAAGTGGACACCGAGACTACCTTCTCCTTTATGAAATGATTTTGTCCTCCTAGGTGACCCAATCCCTTCTTAGTTTCTCTCCCATCTCTCAGATGCACTTGCTCAGTTTCTCAGACTGCAGACTGTGCTTTCACCATGTGTATTCCTTCAAACCAAGTGAAGAAACAACTCACTTTCCTCCTTCCTTCCTCCCTCCCTCCCTTCCTTCCTTCCTTCCTCCCTCCCTTCCTTCCTTCCTTCTTTCCTCTTTCCTCTCTCTCTCTTTCTTTCTTTCTGCTTCCTTCCCCCCTCTCCTGTTTCTCTTTCTCCTCTTCCCCCCAACCTCTTTCTTCTTCTAGAAGCCAAATATACCAGATGAAGGTATCAACTGTGTTGCTCCTTCTGAGGACTGTCAGGGAGGATTCTGCTCCTGGCCACTCTTCTTGACGGGCTGACGTTTTTCTCTTCCTCTATGTATGCTTCTCTACCTAGATTTCCTTGTCTTGCTTACAAGCTCAGACAGAGACACACTCCCATGACACCATTTTATATTATCTCTATAAAAATCTCCATCTACAAGTATGGTCACATTCTGAGACAGTGAAAGATTAGATTTCAACACGTGCTTTGAGAGGTGGGAGAAGGAGCCTTGGTGCCATCATTGGAATCATCTTTCCTACTATAGCTCAAGTGCATATGTCTCAATGCAGAATTTGGCCCATATGCTTTGTACCCCCATGAACACACCCTTGTTCTTGAATTTTGGTTTCCATGATACTACTTTTGTCCTGGTTTACTCCACCTCTCCGGTCTCTCTTTAATGTCTATTTTAAACTGTTCTTCCTTAGCCTCTTCCCTGTCAAGGTTTTCCAGATTCCATCCTGGACTTCTCATCCCATGAGCCTCCTCCCTGAGCTCAGACATGTGAGAATCTTGAGTATCAGCTGTACTTATGCTGAGGACTCCAAGTGTCCACCCTAGTTCAAACCTTTCTCGAGCTGGGCACTGGTTTGTGTGCAATCTATGCAGGCATCTCCATCTAGCTGCTCAAATTCTCTGTGAGCAAATGAACTCACCACATGTCCCCTTTCTCCATCTGCCCCAAACTCATCCCACTCCATCCCTATGCCCTCCATTATGAAGGATGCTCCCACACACTTGTATCTTCTCCCTTCTCCAGCCTCCACACACATAAAAACAAAACAAAAAAGAAAAATCAAAAACAAAGCCAGGCATGGTGGCACACACCTTTAATCCCAGCACTCAGGAGGCAGAGGCAGGTCAATCTCTGGGAGTTTGAAGCTAGCCTGGTCTCCATAGAAAGTTCCAGGACAGCTAGGGAGCTTGTATCAAAAAACAAAACTACAACAAAAAACAAACAAACAAAAAACAAAGCAAAACCAATGACAAAACAAAAACAAAATCAAAACAAACAAAAAAGCAAGCAAATCCTGTGGATTCCGGTGCTCATTCATCCTTTCCTCTCTGATGCTGCCATAGCTAGTTTCTGAGCCATTTCCTCTAAGGATACTGATAACTTCTGGGGAGTGAGGACAGGACTTAGAACATCAAGCTTCCTGAGTCCTAGTCCCAAGAATATCATTATATGGTTATTTAATCTTCGATAAGCAATTTCCCCTCTGTTTCTTAACCATAGCAGTATCAATAAAAAATGACTCATAACAGTAATTACTGAGTTCTTACTAAAGCAAAATTCTAAACACTTTATATAGACCATCAATCACATTTAAACCTCACAACCACACATGACTTCACTTTCAGACATATTTGACAGGGTAGACACTGAATGGTTAAGCAATCTGTCCAAGGCCCACAGCCAGAAGATGTGTTTATATGGGGTCTGGTATTCAAATACACAGCAACCACCAAAACCAAAAATAAAAAAAACCATAATTCAAAACAAAAGGCTAGAGTCCTAGCAGTGGACTCCCACAAATTTTGAAGATCACAAATATAGATATAGGAAAGTCAGTGTAGTTATTGATTTCTTTTTCTAAAGTTGACTGTTAGTTTTCTTCCTATAGACATGCTTCAGGGTCAAAAGCATACCATAAACAGTAAAAATGCTTTTATGAATATTATGCATATGCAAGTGTCCCTTACAGAAGGGTTAGATAGCACTATGTGTTCTCCTTTTCTTCATAAGCTAAGCACATTAGAGGCTGCTCTTTAATAGAATGTAAAAAATCTTTCATGATATTCATTGTGGGGGTTTCATAAATAACCAGTCATTTATTTTTAAATAATTGTTTCTAAGGTTTTCCTCTTTATAAACAATGGCATGAACAATATTGATCTCATCAGACCTTTATTAAGATCTGAAATTGCATCCTTAAAGATGGTCTATTTTGTTAGATAGCATATAACTTAAAGGATAGCTAGTGTGTTTCTGTGGGTTATTGCCCAGGAGTACATAATCATTAGGGGCAATATAGATATATATCCCTCTCCTTAGTAGCATGGGGAATTCTTGTTTTGGAAATTTGGCATTTGCCACCTTGACAGAGAAAAATGATAATGTATTCTTATGATTTACATCACTTTTATTTCTGCTAAAATTCAACTCTACTTATTTCTCGTAACTGCGTTGCAGCATGGAAACAAAGAACAACTTAAACAAGAACCATATAGACAATGGCCTGTGACCCTGTAGACATCCACAGGCCATGCCAGCACAATTCAGTAGGATCAGTCTACAGCTCCATAAAAACTCTAAAGTCTGGAATTTTTTCACATATATATGAAATTTAAAAAGTATTCTAAAGAGGAAAATAATTTTCACTTGGAAATTAGCCTCTAATCTTCTGAAACAAAAGCAGCAAAGGCCCTTCTCAAACCAGTGAAGGCTGGGTCCAGGACAGAATCTCGAAACACAGTAGCAAACAACAAAGAATAGCAAGTGATGGTATCTCCAGCTGCCCAAGCAAGAGAGGGGTAGGCATGGCTGCCTCCAGGAAGTCTGTGTCCTGGGAACCTGCCACAGCAAATTAGGCAAGAAGGAGCCCATCCTCAGGAGCTCTGGAGCCTTGAGTGAGCTATCTACCTTTTCTCAGCCAGGAAGTCTGTGTCCTGGGAACCTGCCACAGCAAATTAGGCAAGAAGGAGCCCATCCTCAGGAGCTCTGGAGCCTTGAGTGAGCTATCTACCTTTTCTCAGCTCAGCTATTAATTACAGCGATTTGTCTGTCTGGACACCACTGTGAAGTGTAACATTAATGAAATGACCCCAGTGAAGTGCACAGTGAGGCGATCCACAGACACCGGGTAACTAAATTACTCCCATCGCCTGTTCCTGTCTTAGGTGCTTATTCTTTTTCTTTTTTCTTCTGTACAGTCATCCCTGAGAATTTTCATAAATGCCAAAATATCAGATGTTCAAGTCCAAAATAAAAAGAGGGGTAATAATTTGCATACACCCGAATACTTTAAATTATCCCTAGATTACATACAATGCCTATACAATGTAAATGAATGACAACAGGAGCCCTGTGCCTCCCAGTATAAGCACAACTGTTGGCTACCTACATGTCTATCTTAAATGGAAAGATGCTAACAGTTGGCCCCCTGCGTTCATAGATGTGGAACCCACACATTCACAGAACTGGCTGTGCCCTTCCTTCTCGGCATTTTCTTTGGCCTCTCTTCTCCTGCCTGGTCTCTTTGTATATGACCAAACTGACTCTGATGTACCAAAATAATAAATAAATAAATAAATTAATTAATTAATCTACCTTCTCTAATTTCTCAGACTTATGTAGACATCTAAAAACCCATTCCAGACTTAAGAAAAAGAGCCACTCTAGGAAAAAGAAAAAAGGAAAGCCAGTTTTACTCGTCTTACATAAATAGTCCTCTTCCTTCTCGGGGCTTTTGCATTGGGCTATTAAATCGATGCATTGCTCCTGAGAGCGTTCTAGAACAGAAATGATAGCATAGTCTCCAGTCTCAGGCTCCCTCTGGATTCCTAACCCATAAGCCACACAGCAAAGAGAAGCAGTCGCTCACCATCTGGGATCCATCTTGGGTGTGTCTGAAAGTTCTGGAAGAAGCCCACCGCGAGTCCGAGTCCTGCTGCTTAAGTCTGTGCTGCCTCAAAGGAGGCGCACTCTTCAGCGCCTGCTCGCTCTTCGGCCTTCCTCAGCAATGACCGCACCAGCTTGACTTTTTCTTAAGAGTTCTTCCTCTTTTCTTAGATTTGAGGAAGATACCTTAACCCTTTCATTGCTTTGTAGGTTATCTTGAGTTTTTAAAAGCAATTCAGTGCTTTGAGACTTAGCACTGTTTCAGTTTTGTTTCTGCTCCACTTCAGCTTCTTCATCTTAAAGCTTTCAATTTAATTCGCTTCGTATTGTTCTTGGCGATGTTGAAGAGACTGGAAGTAATGGAATTAATGTTATAACGGGTATTAGTAGATCTGCTTAGGAGACACTAACTGTTTCCAAAATACCCCCAAAGTAAGTGTTGGGCTCACCTGTTAGAGGCAAGTAACATTTAGGATTCTAGGACGTAAATACAAGTTCACCAGGATTCACCAGCCTTTAGGTTCCATCTCCATAACAAAAGGAGAGAGCTTTGGTTTACAAACAGCCTTGATCCTCACGTCTCCGAACAAGCAAACAGGCAGCTCAGGGTGACAGTCTTAAGTCCTGGCCTGCCATAGAGCCCCAGTTCTCTTGAGAAAAGCATAATTCTGCCAGGTGGGCCAGATGAGTCTGGGTAACAGCTATTTGAAAAAGGGGAACACTGATGCACATAAAATGATTCCAACAATATTTAATATCTTTCCTGGGTAATCTCCCATTGCCCAAGTGGTCAGACTTGCATTCTCTTGTCTTTGTTTAAATTGTTCAGCGCATAAACTAGGGGCAGTAGCAGAAAGAGATTTATGGATGGCAGTATGAGTGGAATGCATAAGCCTAAGGTACATAAGTTAGTAAAACCTTCTATTTGAGGCGGTTCCTCTTTGAGCATTAGTCAGACCCAGAATCATGCTGTCAATAATGAGCTTTCTTCTTATTCTTTCCTGAATGTATGGAGTGAACTCTCACTGTGAGAAGGGGCATATTTTTGCTATACAAAAAAAAAAAAAAAAAAAAAAAAGACAGTTTCTCAAGTGGCCTGGAGTAGACTTTGAACTTGCTATGCAGATGAAGATGACCTTGAACCCCAATCTGTCCAGCCCCTGCTTCCCTAGGGTTGGCATTACAGGAACTTCATTCCTTCACCCAGCTTCCCTGAAACACACCCTTTAGAAATGACTTAAGGAGAATACTGACAATAGCATCTTTTGTTGTTGCTTTCTTACCAGCTTGGTGATATATTTCTACCAACTTCACACTTGCCTGGCATTTTATCTCGGTAAAGAATCCAAAATTCAGAATTTTTCTGTTGTTGTCTGCCAGCTGCGGTTGGGTGAAAGGCCAAGTCAGTGTTTGCTTTTCTGAAGTCATCAGGAGGGAAAATGTGTTTGGTACCAGAAACCTAGCCAACTGCATGAGGTTAGTGAGGTCCATGGATCTTAGAGGAAAACCTACTGCTGTCATTTTATTAAACCGGCACACTTCCTAATCATTTTTTAAACACTTAATTCTCATACACACAGATAAGTTTAGCTCTCACACCTCATCAGAGAAACGTCTCTGCTGCAAAGAGCATTACAGAAAACCACAATGGGTCAGAGTACAGAGAACCAGTGAGCATAGGGTGTACAGTCTTATTGACACACCTACTACAACTCCTACATCTACGAACATCACGGAGGAGTGGGCAAAAGATTTCAAGGTCCAGGGGACTGGGAAAATCTGCTGTGAGAGTGTCTCCTTCCATGCTACCTCAACAATATGGCTGCCTGAACTAGAACTGAAGAAGTATACCAATAGACAAGCTAACATGGAAGGGGGCAATCTCACAGAGCTCCAGCCATAGTCAAGGAACTGTAGGCAACCAAGGGATGATAAAAAGAGGAGAATAGTTTTCTCCAAGGATGAGCTCCACAACTCTGTTATGCAGTGTTAATTGGTCACCCTCCTGGGGTATATCTATATAGATATAATAATAGCAATCATTGGCAAAAGACCATGATGTCAAGAGGGAGTGGGGGAAGATGGAGAGAAGAAAGGGAAGGGGAGAAGTGATGTAATTATATTTCAGTTTTAAAATTTTCCTGGGTGTGGTAGCACATGACTTTAATCCCAGCACTCAGGAGGCAGAGGCAATTGTATCTCATGAGTTAGAGGCCAGCCTGGTCTACATATTGAGTTCCAGGATAGCAAGTGCCATGTCTCAGAAAAACAAATGACTTTTAAAATAAATGAGAAGATAGCAAAATCCATTTCAAAATGATTATGTACCTGCTAAATTATTATAGGAGAATAAATGAAATATATGTATGTATAACTAAATGACATTGGATATAAAATGAAATACTGTAAGAAAACAACCCCCCCAATCCGTATAAACTTTATTTATTATAAATACTAAAGGGGTGGAATACTTTTCAGTTTATTAGCATTAGTATATAATTTAATTTAAAATTGAATGAACATCATCTCCTACTATTATGATCCTCTGGGTATTTTTGAAACAGCATATTAATAGTTGTGGTGTAACAAGGAATGTCCCTCATAAACTGATGTATCTGAATATTTGGTCCCCAGACCATGGGTGTTTAGGAAGAGCAGCCTTGATGCAGGGAACAGGTCAGTGGGACCAGCTATGAGAGCCCACATTCTGGCCCCACTTCTAGTTGCTCTCTCTATTTTATGTCTGTGGCTGAGTCTATGCTATCTCAGCTGCCTCCTCCTGCCACTATATTTGCCTCTATATCTGCACTTGCCATGCCTTTTGCCATGATAGATTCATATCCATAGGGAACCATAGTAAAAACAATCATCTTTGCTATAAGTTGCCTTGGTCATGGTGTTTCATCACAGCAACAGAAAAGTAACTGATACAATTGTATATCAAATAGAGATATTATGATAAAATTATCCCCATATGTCAGGCAGTACATAGCTTTTAATGTTTTTTCCAAATTGACAATTTTGTATTAAGATATTTGTACATGAACTTGCAGTATTTATTTTTCACATTGCTACATAAGTAGTTTATCCTAAAACTTAATTGCCCAAAACCAGCAATGCTTAGGGATTGATATCCAAAATAAGTTCAAATTTAAAACAGACACAGAAACAGATGTTTCTCCAAGAAGGTATACAAATAGCCAATATGTATGTGGAAAATATGTCTCAAAAGTACTAGTCATGGGGGGAATGTAAATTGTAACCACAGAGAACGTCAGCAAGATGGCAGGATGAGAAACCTCAGTCCCTCCTTCCGCCCACAAAGATGTCCATTCAAGAAGAGCGCACATGGTCAGGTTGAGATGGTCCTAAAAATAATAGTGATTCCCTGTGGAGAAGGAGAGAAGCAACTCTTGAAAGCTGTTTTCTGATTTCACACTGATGCCAAAGCACAAGCATTACACACACACACACACACACACACACACACCACCATCACCAACAACTACTACTACTAATAATAATAATAAATTGTAAAAATAATGAAAAACCATCATTCACAGCTCTCTGAGTGAGAAGTCTGGAAGTCAGTTGAGAGGCTCTTTCACACCAGGTGAGCTCAAACCCAGCTACATCAAAGCCAGAGGGAACATTGCTGGCACGTTGGAGCAGGAATCTGTTACCTTGGTCCAGCCTCACAGTTGGAAAGAACTCCTAATCCTTGGATAGTCCCTGGGGAGAGTCAGAGATGGACCGGGTATGCAGATCTCTAATTCAGGGGAAGGGCTGCATGAGGGAGTCCTTCTGTCTTGTCCATCTCACAGAACTGACAGGGTGAGCATGAAAGAGCAGAGCCGTGCCCCACTGCCCCAGAGTGCCCTCTGCGTACCAGACACACGCAGCTATTGCGACGGATTTGACCTCAGCGAGATTAGGGCATGTGTCTATTGTTCCTATTTTGATGAGGGAAGGGTATATATGGCTTTTTTCCTGTATGTCTTGATGCACCGCAGGGACCGACTGTACTGTAGATACGGGAGGGCTTCTGGGAAAAAATAAATGTGTGGGATGCTGCTCCAGCAGACTGGGAGTACAGCAGGGGGCAGTACAGTTTGGTGCCCCCTTCCCTCCTTTGAGGAAACAAGAGAGAAGTGTGATTCAGTATTCTGACTTTTTAAGAGTCTGGCCAAGGAACTCTACATTAATCACTTTTCTAGTCATTTTAACCAAAATGCCAGAAGGAAAAACTTCAAGGAAGAATAATTTATTCTTGACTCATGCTTCAGCCTATGATTCCTCAGACTCGTGCCCTTGAGCAGAACAGCATCTGGGAGATGCTGGGAGAGCAAGTAGGCAAAGTTGTTCATTTTCAGGGGATAGAAAATGGAATAAGGATGATAGAGGATAAGGCCAGGGCAAGATACACCCCTAAAACATGTGACCAGTGACTTACATTCTCCAACTAGGTCACACCTCCTACTTTACACCCCCTCCCAACAATAGCATCATATTATGAATCCATCAAAACATTAACCCGCCTATTAGGTCATGGCTCTCGTGAACCTCATGACTTTCATTTCCTTCCTAGAAATGCCCTTCCAGACATAATCTCAATCTAATCAAGTGGATGGTAAATATTAACCATCTGAAACATGTTCCTGTACATTCAAAATCAGGCGGTGACTGGGCATAACACACTCTAGAACCAAAGCCTGCTAGGAGCCAAAATGCTGCACCATGTGTCATTCTGCTGGGCATATGATACAGCCAATAGACAAAGGGACAGTGTTCTTCAGACTTTTCATCACTGGGGTGAACACCTGGAAAGAATAATTTAAAGGGGAAAAGATTTATTGGGGCTCACCCTTCCAGAGATATCAGGACAGGATTGGCTGGACCACATTTGGGTCATGAAGGACATCATGGCAGTTAGGAAACATAAGACAGAGGGAAGGGAGGGGACATGGTGTCTTCTCACTAAGAACAACTATACTCTACCTCTTACTTTTTCCAGCCCCCTGTCGTTATATTATGAGTCCAGCAAATAGAGCCCTCAAGATCCAATCAGTCACAGTCCAAAACCTC